GAACCCAAAGCAGGCTCCAAGCTCTGAGCTGTCAGCACAGAGCCTGATGCGGGACCTGATGCCACCCAATAGCATAGGGGATTGAACTCACGAGCCATGAGATCATGACCTGAGCCAAAGTCGGATGCTTAACCAACTGAGCCACCCAGGTGCCCCAACTTTTCTACTTTAATTCCAGTATAAGCTTTGCAGAATTTTAAACAAGGGAAGGATCTATTCTCACTTATAAATTTGTGAAAGATGCTCCAAGCTGATGGGTTGAGGGAGATTTGGGGGCAAAGGTGGAAGCAGAGACACCAGTGATGAGTTCAGATGAGAGAAGATGGCAGCTTGGACCATAGTAAGAGCTGTGGCTGGTGAGGCGACTGGGCTCTGTCACACCTGAAACAGATGGAGTTGGGTGTGAGAGCCAAGAGCCAAGAGTAGCATCCAAGGCTTTGGGCCTGAGAAACTGGGACACAGGTGTTTCCCTCTCCCAGGATGGGGAAGCCTATCATGGGAGGAAAAAGTGTTCTTGAACATGTTTACATTGAGGTATTTAACATCCAAGTGGAAACATGGAGCAAGCTGTAGAGTCTGGAACTGGAGAACACTGGGAAGTCAGCAGCACATAGCTGGAATGATAAGCCCTACACTGGGGCCGGGGGGTGTCTCTTACCTTGGGAGTGAGGGTAGATGCACAAAAGGTGTAAGGGCTGAGCACTGGAGTGCACCTCCATTTATTAGTTGGGAAAGAAAGAGAGAAGAATGAACTGCACGCAGTAGGAAGAGACAGTGAATGGTGTCCCAGAGGTGGAGTGAGGAAGACATTTCTAGATGGAGAGAGAGTCATCTGTGTTGAATGGTCAAGTCAGATGAGAAATCAAAATGGACCTCCATTTAGGCACTGGAGGCATCACTGGAAGAGGTGGGATTGAGAGCCTGAATAGAGAGGTTCAAAGAGAATAGGTTATAGTAAGAGGCCAGCCAACTGCTAAGGTGACAGTGATCATGATCAAGAGTAGGGGCTGATAATCTGGGCCAGGTGTCTGGACCACAGCCAAGTGGTCTGGGGAGCAGAGCAGAGCTTCAGACCCCAGCAGGAGAAACTGAAGGGCAAAAAATACAAATTATGAAGAAAGGGTAAGTCCAGAACATGAGCCTGAAGAGCAGGGTAGGAGGAAGGCTCCAGCTTGGGGTCACTCTGGTGCCAGGTTCAGGGCAGTGAGACCCATTCCAGATGCTTCCATTGCTAGAGAGAAGACTCTACCTATGCTATTGGGTGGCGACAGGGCTGGCCAGAACATGCTGGGAAGTGGGTCAGCACACGAATGTTTCAGTA